TATAAGTTACTGTGATAAAGACATAAGATACTTTGTTTCCCTGGTTGATTAGTTTATAAGTTACTGTGATAAAGACATAAGATACTTTGTTTCCCTGGTTGATTAGTTTATAAGTTACTGTGATAAAGACATAAGATACTTTGTTTCCCCTGGTTGATTAGTTTATAAGTTACTGTGATAAAGACATAAGATACTTTGTTTCCCTGGTTGATTAGTTTATAAGTTACTGTGATAAAGACATAAGATACTTTGTTTCCCTGGTTGATTAGTTTATAAGTTACTGTGATAAAGACATAAGATACTTTGTTTCCCTGGTTGATTAGTTTATAAGTTACTGTGATAAAGACATAAGATACTTTGTTTCCCTGGTTGATTAGTTTATAAGTTACTGTGATAAAGACATAAGGTACTTTGTTTCCCTGGTTGATTAGTTTATAAGTTACTGTGATAAAGACATAAGATACTTTGTTTCCCTGGTTGATTAGTTTATAAGTTACTGTGATAAAGACATAAGATACTTTGTTTCCCTGGTTGATTAGTTTATAAGTTACTGTGATAAAGACATAAGGTACTTTGTTTCCCTGGTTGATTAGTTTATAAGTTACTGTGATAAAGACATAAGATACTTTGTTTCCCTGGTTGATTAGTTTATAAGTTACTGTGATAAAGACATAAGATACTTTGTTTCCCTGGTTGATTAGTTTATAAGTTACTGTGATAAAGACATAAGATACTTTGTTTCCCTGGTTGATTAGTTTATAAGTTACTGTGATAAAGACATAAGATACTTTGTTTCCCTGGTTGATTAGTTTATAAGTTACTGTGATAAAGACATAAGGTACTTTGTTTCCCTGGTTGATTAGTTTATAAGTTACTGTGATAAAGACATAAGATACTTTGTTTCCCTGGTTGATTAGTTTGTAACGATGTAGCAGATAAGCAAATGATTATTTTTATTTCCTTCATTTTACATTTAGAAGATAAAAACTATAAAGTTAAGTAAATGATTTTTTTTAGAAAAAATCTTATATCTAAACCAAACAACACTGTCTACAACTATTATGACCTACAACTATTATGAACTACAACTATTATGAACTACAACTATTATGATCTACAACTATTATGAAAGACAACTATAATGACCTACAACTATTATGAACTACAACTATTATGACCTACAACTATTATGATGTACAACTATTATGAACTACAACTATTATGAACTACAACTATTATGAACTACAACTATTATGATCTACAACTATTATGAAGTACAACTATTATGATCTACAACTATTATGAACTACAACTATTATGATCTACAACTATTATGAAGTACAACTATTATGATCTACAACTATTATGAACTACAACTATTATGAACTACAACTATTATGATCTACAACTATTATGACCTACAACTATTATGACCTACAACTATTATGAACTACAACTATTATGAACAACAACTATTATGAACTACAACTATTATGAACTACAACTATTATGACCTACAACTATTATGAACTACAACTATTATGATCTACATCTATTATGACCTACAACTATTATGACCTACAACTATTATGAACTATAACTATTATGATCTACAACTATTATGAACTACAACTATTATGATCTACATCTATTATGAACTACAACTATTATGATCTACAACTATTATGACCTACAACTATTATGAACTACAACTATTATGAACTACAACTATTATGACCTACAACTATTATGAACTACAACTATTATGATCTACAACTATTATGACCTACAACTATTATGAACTACAACTATTATGAACTACAACTATTATGACCTACAACTATTTTGAACTACAACTATTATGAACTACAACTATTATGATCTACAACTATTATGAACTACAACTATTATGAACTACAACTATTATGACCTACAACTATTATGACCTACAACTATTATGAACTACAACTGTTATGATCTACAACTATTATGAACTACAACTATTATGACCTATAACTATTATGAACTACGACTATTATGATCTACAACTATTATGACCTACAACTATTATGAACTACAACTATTATGATCTACAACTATTATGAACTACGACTATTATAATCTACAACTATTATGAACTACAACTATTATGATCTATATCTATTATGAACTACAACTATTATGATCTACAACTATTATGACCTACAACTATTATGAACTACAACTATTATGAACTACAACTATTATGATCTACAACTATAATGATCTACAACTATTATGATATATAATTATTATGATCTACAACTATTATGACCTACAACTATTATGATCTACAACTATTATGATCTACAACTATTATGATCTACAACTATTATGAACTACAACTATTATGATCTACAACTATAATGATCTACAACTATTATGATATATAATTATTATGATCTACAACAATTATGATCTACAACGATTTTGAACTACAACTATTATGACCTACAACTATTATTACAGTAAGCAGCTACCAAACAGGGAGGTACTACCACCTGGGAAGATATTGGAAGCATAATGTATTGTCTCATGGTAGACCCTGCTGCCATATGGCATCTGTGACCAAGTCCCAGGTTGCTGATCTGACTTTCTGCCTCATTTACACACAATTGCAGGGTCTCAATTGTGTCTCTTACTATTGACAACACATATATATATATATATATATATATATATATATATATATATATATATATATATATATATATATATATATATATATATATATATATATATATTGTTTCTCATTTTTTATCTGTTTTATGTTTTCAATTTCTCTATTTATTTATGGTTCAATAAATATTGAAAAATCCGCCCCCCCTCCCCTCCCCCGCAGGCCCCAACGTGGGTCAGTGACCTGTTCCCGGGTGGGCTAACCCCCGTATGTCCTACAACTATTATGAACGAGAACCCTTATGATCAACAACTATTGTGACCTACAACTATTGTGACCTTCAACTATTGTGACCTACAACTATTGTGACCTTCAACTATTGTGACCTACAACTATTGTGACCTACAACTATTATGATCAACAACTAGTGTGGCCTACAACTATTGTGACCTACATCTATTGTGACCTACAACTATTATGAACTACAACTAGTGTGGCCTACAACTATTGTGACCTACAAGCATTATGACTTACAACGAGTTTTATAATATGTATTTGCAATAAGTATATGTCCATTTTAACAACCTCTCTAACAAAACTTTTTAGAGTCAGGTGGTCTAGGAAAAAACTGTTGCATTAAATTGAACAAGGAATCAAACTCGAAGTATCAGGAAATCGCACGTACACTTGATATAACGAACACCATGGGATGAATTTACAGTCACACTTAAAACTAGCACTTAAGAGACAAGTAGCGCAATAAGGGAATCCGTATATATATACACCGGACACGCACACCCTTTTAGAGATGCAACAAATCAGACACACTTGAACAATCTGTATTACAGGTTAAAGAATCTTAATTTGCACTCCCTCGAGAGACGTAGAGCGAGGGGCGACATGATAGAGGTGTATAAATGGAAGTCAGGGCTAAACAAAGGGAACATTACAAAGGAACTCAAACTATCCAACCAGGAGCGAACTCGTAACAATGGTTTTAAATTAGACAAATTTAGATTTCGGCGTGAAATAGGTAAACACTGGTTTGGAAACAGAGTAGTGGATGAATGGAACAAGTTACCAAATATCATCATTAACTCGAATACGCTGGATAGCTTCAAACATAGGTTGGATGCTTATATGAGCAATAGGGGTTGAGTGTAAACGGGACTGCCCAGTATGGGTCAATAGGCCCGCTGCAGTTTCCTCCATTCTTATGTTCTTATGTTCTTAATAATAATTTTAAATTGGTATAGTAAAATTTACATTACACTAAACCTCAATATTTAAAAATTTTGCTACAAAGAATGTCAGAGAATAAACTGACATTAAAAGGATGATTTATTTTTCAGAAGGCCGGAGATGTATGTGATTGGGATTAAAGAAAATAAATCCCGTTTTTGTCATTATCTTTATTTTATTTTTATAATTAATAATACTATATAACAAGAAATAATCCTTTCGGCAATTTGTGGTATAATTTTTCCCCCCAGGGGCAAGATCATCACAGCCTCCCGGGTCTTCATAGAAACATTAACCCTAATTTTAGACATATATCTTGTCTTTATTTGTGTAATTAATGCCATTATAATTTATGCCGGTGACTTAAAATATATTGTCCAAAGTGACGTGAAATAACTCATCGGGTGCTGTGTGTGTGTGTGTGTGTGTGTGTGTGTGTGTGTGTGTGTGTGTTTTTCTTGTAAATCTATATTTGCCGCAAACATAAAAAAAAACCCGGATGAATATTCCCCCAAATATATAACAAGATTCTCTGGAATTGTAAAGCAGTTATGCCAAGACATGATACACCCCGAGACCCCAGTTAAGAGGATAAAATGAGTGAGTTAAGAGACACGGTACCAGTATGACATCTTTTATTAGTATAGTAAAAGTAAAACGAACAGAGCGAGATAAATCTAGCCAGCAGTGTTTCTTTTCATAATAGTAATGAACCGTGTAGTTTTAATGATGCAACACTTGAAATCAAATAACGCATTAAGTATGTAATGTAATAACACGTACTGAAATTGAATATGTTTCTTTGGCATTACAAGTGGTGAGCCGCGGTCTGATCCCTCACCACCATTTGCCAAGGAAGATCAGCGGAACATTCACCAACAATTCTTACGCACAAAACAGAGAAAAAGCTTAAAGAAAGCTTTCGATAGGCAACTGAAAACACAGCTCCTTACGATATAGTCTTTCACTATTAAAAATTAACAAATTAAAACAGGAGAGAGAGAGAGAGAGAGAGAGAGAATTATAAAAGAAACATTGAATTATCAAACCTTAAGAACAATGAGAAGTTACTAACACTGCTACTTTAAATGTCGCTTACTTTTGTCTGGGTCGTCTTTGTGTCCGGAGAGGGAGGTGAGGTGGGCCTCGGGGAAGGGTGGACACAGGGAACTCAGCTGCTGCACGTGAGGGGAGGTCAGAGGGGGGTGGAGTGAGGACCCTGTCAAGGAGCTGTTGGAAGAGGGAGTGTTGGAGGACGAGATAGAGGTTGAGGGAGAACCTCCCACGCCAACTAGACCTCCTCCTCCTCCACTTCCGACTTGAACTGTGCTGTCTACCCCCGCTCCTCCTCCACCACCACCGCCTCCTCCTCCTCCTTCTCCTCCTCCGCTCTCGATGTAAGGTGTCTCTTCCTTGAGGTAGCCATCTTCCTTCACATACTTGGCATAGTTTCCTTTGTATTTGTAATATTCATCCTTGTACTTGTAGTCGTCCTTGAGGATCTCCTCCTCCTTCACCACCACGGACTCGCCCATGATGTAGTCTACAATATAAAGTTGTGTTGACAGAGTTACTCAGTCAGTGAACTTAAATTAAGGTATAACATAATCAGAAGACATAAAGGTTAAAACTTGGACGACAGAAAGTTTTAATAATCATACAGGTGGGACGCCATTAAGCTGTACACTGAACAAACAAGGTATATATATTTTTAACTGATTAAGGTTGATCGATGAAGCCAACATGGGCAGAGCGTCAAGTTATGACAAACTCTTTCAACCAGCCAAAAATATTTTCACGTGAAAACAGTTTACATTGTGAGTATTTACCTGCAATGTGAGAATGATATGGGGAATATATCATCCTTATTATTATTTTCGCTCTCATTATTATTATTATTATTGTTATTATTATTATTAATATTATTATTATTATTATTATTATTATTATTATTTCGTCTATGTTTCCAAGACAGTATCACCCATACGATTGAATTTTCTGAGCCATATCTCATTAATGGCTCTCTAAAATCTCAAAGAAAACCACTGAACAAAATGTATTCCTGTAAACGAATTGATTATTTAAGAGACCTTCAAAATATAAAGAAACTTTTGGTCTGTAAAACACTTTAATCGCTAGGACGATCTTATCTGAATGTGCAGCAGTTTATGAGTAGAAGAGAAATAAAAGGGACACTTGTATTATATAAAATATAAATAAAATAATAGTCCTCATGAAAAAGACACCAGAGATGTTCAAAACACTGTTTAACAATTATAGACACATCATCTACCCAGTGCCACTATAATGTTTATACTGTAGGATATGTTCTTGCATTTGTTTATTTGGTATTTGATTTGTTTCCGTCATTGATTATAGAGTTCAGTGTTATGGGTTTAAGAGTTAAACACCTTATGTTCTGTCCACAGCTCCAACACGGTAGAAATATATTTAACTAATATAAGAGAAAAGAATAACTGCTCAAGATAACAAAATGGCCGATATTTTGGAATTTATGAAGAACGATAACGTCAAGAAATATTAGTCACAATGGACTGTATTTTGGAATTAAAATTATCGTTGACGATAATTTGTACACACTGTTTTGCTGTTCTGCTGAGCGTTTTAGAGTTATTACAAAAGTTAACTGTAATCTAAATTTCTTGAATTTTTCGCTCGGTATATATATATATATATATATATATATATATATATATATATATATATATATATATATATATATATATATATATATATATATATATATATATAATATATATATATATATATATATATATATATATATATATATATATATATATATAAGTAAAAACAAGACACTTTGAGAAATAACTATTGAAGTTAAAATTTAACAGAGACGAGAGAGGTGTGAGAGGCCTTCTTTCACCAGGTAAGGCAACACTTCACCTAAGCTTCACCAGGTAAGGCAACACTTCACCTAAGCTTCACCAGGTAAGGCAACACTTCACCTAAGCTTCACCAGGCAAGGCAACACTTTACCTAAGCTTCACCAGGTAAGGCAACACTTCACCTAAGCTTCACCAGGTAAGGTAACATCTCACCTAAGCTTCACCAGGTAAGGCAACACTTCACCTAAGCTTCACCCGGTAAGGCTATTCACCTAAGCTTCACCAGGTAAGGCTACACCTCACTTCAGCTTCACCAGGTAAGGCTACACCTCACCTCAGCTTCACCAGGTAAGGCTACACTTCACCTCAGCTTCACCAGGTAAGGCTTCACCAGGTAAGGAGCTTCACCAGGTAAGGCACACTTCACCTCAGCTTCACCAGGTAAGGCTTCACCTAAGCTTCACAGGGGCTACATCAGCTTCACCAGCTTCACCAGGTAAGGCAACACTTCACCTAAGCTTCACCCGGTAAGGCTATACCTCACCTAAGCTTCACCAGGTAAGGCTACACCTCACTTCAGCTTCACCAGGTAAGGCTACACCTCACCTCAGCTTCACCAGGTAAGGCTACACTTCACCTCAGCTTCACCAGGTAAGGCTACACCTCACCTAAGCTTCACAAGATAAGGTTACAATTTGTCTCAGCTTCAAACACTGAGGAAGTAGTAGTAGTAGTAGTATGGCAGACCTAACCCACTACAGCGTCTGGTGAGAGTTAACGTTGTTGGGTGAAATTGAACTATTGCTATGTATATTGATACACTCAATTTATTTGTTTATAAGTTTGTTTGTTTTTCTCTCTCTCTCTCTCTATTTGTTTGTTTGTTTGTACGTCTGTCTGTCTGTTTATCTGTCTGTCTGCACTCTGGTGTCCACGTTTCAAATTCGAACATTAGGCAAATTTTACAAGTGACCTTAAGCATATAGAATAATTTTATTTTGGTCAGCATCGGACAAAGTTAAATTGGGCCTAAAATTGTGGTTTATAGACAAGTTGAGATGAGAAGAACACCTAAAATATGTTTGGCGTTTGTATCCTGAAAAGGAAGTCATGGACCCATTATTGTAATTGATAGTCTTTAATAATAATAATAATAATAATAATAATAATAATAATAATAATAATAATAATAGAGTAATTAAATTTATGATGAAAATATTAAAAATACTAATAAAAAAGTAATAATAATAATAATAATAATAATAATAATAATAATATTAATAATAATAATAATAATAATAATAATAATAATATTAATAATAATAATAATAATAATAATAATAGTAATAATAATAATAATAATAATAATAATAATAAAAATGATAATACAGTAATTAAATTTATGATGAAAATATTAAAAATACTAATAAAAAAGTAATAATAATAATAATAATAATAAGGACAATGTTGCTTTTATTACAATTACTATTAATTATCGTGTAAGTATAACTAAAACAATCATTATCTTATTGTTAATTACCGCTAATGTTACATTTATTACTAAGGTTACTTTCATTATCTTTAGCACCCTAATTAGAATGGGTTTAGTGGTCTTCATCACATTGGCCGTAGAACTGTTACTTTCTTACAGTAGCTGTTAACGCTTTTACTGTTAGAGGTTTATATACACAGGAGTGTGGTGCATTATTTAACATTATCTGTCTGTTGTGGTGTTAACTGAAGCTTGGCGGGATAGACCCACTGGATATAGGATAAGACTCATATTGTATACAGAGATTAACAGATGTGTAAAAATATTTATGGAAGGTAAAGATTTAGGCAGACAGTGCCGGGAGACATGTTAAAGTGATAGTAGGACCTACCATGTTGTTGCTGTGGGGGGAAGGCGTCCATGATGTCGGCGGGTCCCACGTCGCCCATGGTGGTGGGTTCACCCATGTGGGAGGCCTCGCCCATGCCCGGGTCGTGCAGGTGCCCATCAGGCAGATGTGGGTCGTCCCAGAAGGGTGGCACCCACACAGAAGGGTCCACAGCCACGGTGCCACCTTCTAGGTACTCCCTTCCGCCACTCAGGTAGCCGCCCATCACGCCCATAACACCCATACCGCCCGCTGTGGGTGGCATGCCGCCAGACATCATCATAGTGTGTACGTGTTGGAGTGGATGGGCGTGCTGGGAATTATAAGCAAGATGGCCGAGGTGTTGAGGGTCGTGCGAGCCGTCGTGGAAGTGGTGGTGGTAGCTCCTGTGGGAGGGGAAGACCTTCAGCTCGGCCAGGCTCACGGCTCAACACCTCAGGCTCACAGTAAAAGTTCACAATGTTTATCGTAGAGAATCCTTGTCAAGTAAATTTTGATTTGAGCTAATGTTGCACGTGGTTCATAAAGGCAGGTGTGGCGTGAGTCAACGCAGTGAGCCGTGTATACGGAAGGACGCGCCAAGAGCATGGAGGTGGGAGCCCTCAGGTAATGAGAGCCCTTGAGGGCGTGTGGGAGAGGGAGGCTCACACGTCACCCTGGGCCGGGTATATCCCCTCACTGTCTCAAGTGAGGAACGAAGAGGCAACCAAGTGAGCCTCGACAAGTAGCAGTCATGTATCACTGGCGTTTAGTCATGACTCTCTCAGTCTGGAGGGTGGACACGCGATGGCAGCCTTGCGACTCAAACACTCTCATCGCTCGAGAGGTTCGCTCTTCAAACGCTTCAAGTCCTACTTCAGTCTGCCTGACCCTTGAGAAGTTGACACTCGCGTCACTCCCAGTCCACCGTGGTTGGAGTCAATCTTGGTAGCAGTGCACTCAGTTCCTCCTCCACCACTGTCACTGGTTCACACACACACTCGGGGTAGTAATACGCCACTCGACAATAAAACACTATACAGGAGACTGCGAGGTGTCTTGGTGGAGCTGGGTGACCGGTTGTGGCCTGAAGAGTAATGTGGAGGTGAGGGGAGAGACGGCGAGCAGTGTGTGCCTGGGGCGAGGCGGGGCCATTGAGCGTAAGGGGTGGAGTATATAGGCTGAGGGGCGGAGCTTCAGGGACTCCTGGCTTTTGTTCGCGTGGTGGGCGGAGTCTACCAGCAGGATCACCGATACATTTTTTTCAAAGTTCAAGAAGGACATGTGGGAGTTTGTTTACTGTTAAGAATTTCCTCTAGTGATTGTCACTATCATTCACTTAACAGTTGGACTTGGAAATGCTCAATAAAGATACAGTATCCATTCTCAGATCTGTCAGTCGGTTGGTATTTACTCTGAAGTAATCCACAATTCAGGAAAATAAATACTTAACAATGTCGATAGCAAATTGTAAGTAGGAAGTTGTACAATGAAAAGGTCGCCTCTTGACAAAAGAACAACCACCAGATTATAAATCACGACTCAAACACACACACACACACACGCCTAGTATTTGAGAAGACAAGCATCAGGAGCAACAATTAGGTGACGTGACTGTTGCAACACACAGGTGTCGTGACTGTTGCAACACACAGGTGACGTGACTGTTGCAACACATAGGTGGACTGTGACAGTACATGTATCAATACTGTACGACACTTAAGTTGACCCATAATATTTAGTGTAGGTACATTTGGTTTGAAGAGGTATACATAATTAACACTCAGGTGGGCACCATTTGCGTTATTTTGGCCAAATTTACTCTAATTATTTTCGAAGGCATTTTGGGGGGTTCTGCACCCATACCCTGTAAGGTTGTACCCACATTGTGGGGCTGTTGCACCCGTCTCAGAACCTCCATATGCGACGTCACTGACAACACGTCAACAGGTGTTTCATAGTTCATAATAATTTGTTCTTACTTACACCCTCATCCCTATAATATGCTATATATACCTGTTGAAATATCTACTATATATATCTACTTAAGGAAATAATATGGCACAGATATTAATGCAAGTAGCACAGGCGTCTGTACTCCCTTAAAGATAAGCCCAGCTGCTCATAGTCAGGGCACACAACATTAACCAGCTCTCAGTGTAAAATATTAGGAGTTTAAATTATACTACTAATATTATTATTGTGGTTTACTTTATATTGAATTACCTCATCAACTAGGTTGGTTTTATATATATATATATATATATATATATATATATATATATATATATATATATATATATATATATATATATATATATATATATATATATATATATATATATATATATATAAAGGCCTAGTTGATGGTCAATCATACCTGCCGGGCTATACAGTAATAAACCTCAGCTTAGTGGTGCTCTTTACTAGACGAACTGTAATAAATTTATGTCATACTGCTAATTTTCTATAGGCCTACACGCCGGAACACTCCACGTCCACAGCTGAACTCCACACAGAGTTAGTTGACATTGTCCCCGCTGAATCACTTTCCGCAAGTATTCGAGGCGGGGGGATACGGCCCTACACCGTGTTACGGTACTCGTTTTTCCTGTGTTTACATGAAGGTGTCTGGGAAAAATCTTACTTGAGCTGACAAACTTGAGCACGAAGTGTGTGTGTGTGTGTGTGTGTGTGTGTGTGTGTGTGTGTGTGTGTGTGTGTAGTGTGTGTGTGTGTGTGTGTGTGTGTGTGTGTGTGTGTGTGTGTGTGTGTGTGTGTGTGTGTGTGTAGGGTGTGTGTGTGTGTGTGTGTGTGTGTGTGTGTGTGTGTGTGTGTGTGTGTGTAGTGTGTGTGTGTGTGTGTGTGTGTGTGTGTGTGTGTGTGTGTGTGTGTGTGTGTGTGTGTGTAGTGTGTGTGTGTGTGTGTGTGTGTGTGTGTGTGTGTGTGTGTGTGTGTGTGTGTAGTGTGTGTGTGTGTGTGTGTGTGTGTGTGTGTGTGTGTGTGTGTGTGTGTGTCATACGACGATGTGTTCTTATCTTCAAGAGGAAATAATGTACTTCTAGTGACGCCAACAGTATCAACATTGTTATTGTTTGAAGGCCTGCGGTCAGCGACTTGTGGAAGGCCATTAGACCAGTATAGGGAACGTATTATTTTTATTATTATTATTTTTTTTTTCACGTAATCATTCAATATCGTTACTCATACTAATATTCTAACAAATGTTCGTTGGATAAGATTATAAGACTGAAAGAACTGTAGTATTGACTCATACTAGGCAACCATGTTTACAGCCATCCCCTGTCACTCACATAATCTGTTCATCTTTTATTCGAAACTTCCCAGCGATTAATAAAAAAATAATGATGGTGTTTGTTAATTTGTTCTACTCGTCCTAAACTGTATTTCCAAACCGATATTTGCCAAATTTTGTCTAAATCTAAATTTGTCTAATTCAAAACCATTACTACGTGTTCGCTCCTGACTTATTAGTTTGGGTACGTTATTTATATCACCTTTCTTTAGTTCCATCTTTCACTTACACACTTCGATTGTAGCGCCCCTCACTCTACGCCTCCCAACAAATATAAATTAAGTTTTCTTAATGTCTCTGCACTTAAGGTTCCTGGATTGACTTTCTCATCCTTTTTCTGAATTCTCTTTAAGGAAACAGTATCCATTCTATAGTACGGTGACCAAAACTGAACCGCAAAATCTAAGTGTGATCTCAGATACAAGTTGAAGAGATATACAGAAGATCAAAGATATCTTTCCATCTCCTATTACTAAAGTTACTAAAGGCGGCGTCACACGAACACATAAACTGGCAATTTTTCAAACCGAGGCAAGTAAATCCAACGAGAGGAATTCCAGCATCACACAAACGTAAACATTCAAGATGGATCTCGGTGATCCCATTACTGTGGCAACTGTACAGTAGCTGTTATTTTGAAGTGTATCAAGCGTAGGCAAGGAAAAAAAAAAGTTTGAAAACTAATGGTGTGATGTTTTAATTTTGTGCCCCATGCTGTCATATGAGCCCTAGTATAATACTCTGTTAGCCGTCCTTCGTATATAACCGCTTTTCTTATATCTGCATTGTTCAGCTGATATCAGGTTCCTCTGTTTCCATTTCGTAGCCTTATAACTTTACATTGTCTCCCTCAAATTGCATCTCCATAAAAAAAAATTTGTTCAGGTCTTCTAGTAATTTTCTAGATTCCACATCAGATTTAATTATACTCCCTGTTATGTGTCGTCAGAAGATTCATTTATGTTCTTATCAAAGCCAATCTCTATGTCGTTAATGTATATAAAAGACAGTAATCCATACATATAGTTAATTTTTTCTTGAGAGCAAAATTCCTAACAGATATACTGCATGCACTGTACAGTATATTGTAGGTATACCAGCGTGACAGCTTGGTATGTACGAGGACCTCCACGGACTACTACCTTACAGCCTAAGGTATTATGGACACTATGTGAAGCATTTTAACAAGAGTATTACCGAAATCGTCATTAAAATTCTCAGACTGCGTTATGAGAGCAAGCGCGAACAGTACGAGAGACCAGCCATGCAGGGCAGCAAAATCCTCTTGAATGCAATAGGAATGAATTAAGAGTTAAAGATGAGAGCAATAGTAGAATATCACATGGTTATGACAAGAGCAGTACGAAGATAATTATTAACGCTCAGAACATAAGGCAAAAGTTACATCTCACTCAGCCTTAATTCCTACAGAGCATGACGATAATGACCTATTGTATAACATATATAATTCAATAAAAAAACTTATATATTGACTGACTATATATATTGTGTTAGGTGTCATTTTTTTTATGCTGACTGACAACCCCTCCCACCCCACGAACCCCCAATACAAATAGTCTAATTCCGCCACAGAAGAGTAGACAAGGTATTTACGGTACTACTGTCGTCAATGTTGCCATCATCAGCATGAGTTCTGTGTGAATTGGGTGGTGCTTGGTTGGGGTTGGCACAGGGAATTACGTCGTTTGTTGATGTGAAGGGGTTGTTTGTGTGGTGACGGTGTTTGTGTGAGGGGGGGGGGTGTTGGTGTGGTAGTGTTGTTAGTTGGAGGTGCTGGTGTGGTGGTAAAAGTTGTTGTTGTTGGTGCGGTGGTGTTCTCGTGGTGACGGTGTTTGTTTGAGGGGGTGTTTGTGTGGTAGTGTTGTTAGTGTGGTGGTATTGTTGTTGGTGTGGAGGTGTTGTTGTTGTTTTTGTTTGTGTGGTGACGGTGTTGTTGGTGTGGTGGTGCGAGGGGGTGTTGGTGTGGTGGTGGTGGTGTTGTCGTTGGTATTGTTGGTGTAGTGTTCGTGCGGTGTTGGTGTAATGACGGTGTTGTGTGAGAGAGTGTTGGTGTGGCAGTGTTGTTGGTGTGGTGATGCTGTTGGAATGGTGAAATTGTTAGTGTGGTGGTGGTGTTGTGGTGACTGTTCTTGTGTGAAGGGGATGCTGGTGTGGTGTTATTGTTATTAATAGTGTTGTTGATATGGTGTTGGTGTGGTGTGATGCATCATATCCACCTACTTCACGTATCACAGCTTCATGCATCACATCCATATATTTTCTCTACCATATCCAAATACATCTTTCCTAATTACAGTTTTTATTCATTGGTAGACACGAGTTTAGCTGCGGCATCAACTCTGTCATATTTATGGAGGTCTTGATTGATTGATACGTTTATTGAGATACAAAAAACATTAATACATCTCAAAGGGATGAAGTGACATAAGTCATCCTCACCCCAGTCCAGGAATGTCCCTCTCAGGACTCACATAAATCCCTAATATTTCATATAATTAGTTATAATAATAGTTATATTCTAGATGCAAAATTTCTATATATCTTTAATATTTCATCTATTTTCCCATTTAAAATGGAGGTCTTTGGGAGAGACAAGTAGGTGGCACTCTGAGTTGAGAGTGTGCAGAGTAAGTTACAGAAAGGTTTAGGTGACGAGACTGCCTGTGGTGTTAGTAAATTCTTCAAGTTTGAGGGTAGTGAGTATAACACATTATTTGTTCTGTAGAGTGGATACCCAGAGTAAGGTGAACCACATAGGTATAGCACTTCCAGCCCTTCCCCGAGCAGTGTTGAGAGAGCCATC